CTAAAAGATATTTGGGCACAATAACTTCGTTGAAACTTTGTAAACACGCAAACTTGCAATTTGTGTTTGTTTTGATGCTAAATACATACAAGTAAAGCTTGGAACACATTCAATTATTTAAATGTTATGTATTATTATGTATACATGAATTAACAACAATCATTGTTGTCTATTTTTATAAAATGCGCAAGTTTATAACGATGAATAGATAGATGGATATTTATTACTCTTTCACGAAAATACTACTGAACGGAATTAAATGAAATTTAATACATGGGTAATTTATATTCTACTTAGGTTTATACTTTACTAGCGACCCGCCTCGGCTTCACATGGGTGTAATGCTGATACTAAATATACCTACCTACTACAGAAGGTCCTTATAAACAACGTTTACAGCTTTTTATCATTAGAAAATACAAACATGATAAAGTGCGATAAGACGACGCGCGGCCTTCGACGTGGTACTTATAGGCACGCGTCGCCGGTCGAGCCGGTACCGCCGCACCACTATGTCCCTGCATTTTAAATCTGTAATATCTTCGGAACTATTGATTTAAATTACAGGCTGTAAAGAGCCGTTTTGATCTATATTAAATGGACAATGTTTTCAAGGTACTTAATTTGATAAAAATTAATGCTGTAATGCTTACAATCACTTCGTAAATAAGCCTTTTTTTCCCGTAAAATGTTGAGGATAAAAAATGGTTATTGTGGGTTATCTATAAGAGATAGACATATACCATCCCGGACTTTTTTGTTAACCTTTTAAAGGTGTAGTATATTACTGTAGTACATTATTTTGATTTATCTCGCGAGGTTCAGCAAGCGTTTGCAATGTAAGCACAAAAAATGTGTTTATTTACGACATCACATTAGAAATCTTTAAATTTATTGATGTTTCTCTACAATATTATGCATGTATTATACATACAAATCTTTTTCTTCAATTACTCTATCTACTAAAAAACCGCTTCAAAATCCGTTACGTAGTCTTAAAGATTTAAGCATACATAGGGATGAACAGACAGCGACAGCCACTTTGTTTTATACTATGTAGTGAAGTGATGATGATAATGTACAGATATACGCGCGCGGAGCCGCGGGATATTGCTAATATATAATAATGAAATCAATTAAATAAAAGCAGTTACATTGTATCTTCTTTATTAGCGAAGTATGTAACAGTTAAACAAAATTGTAAGAGATTTTATTGGAACTGTAGTTGTAAAACGTTTTATCCCCAGGTATCCATAAATCTTGAAATCAAAAGTACCGCGAATCGTAAAGAACTAAGGTAACCACGGTTTACGAGACTACTGTTGATTGATCGAACCATACAGTATACACATTGTTATAAATTCTTTAGAATATAATATATTGAGAGTATTCAATTAAAATAATGAACGGACGATCAACGAAAATTTTATACCAAATGTATGAAATTTTTGAGTATTGTGGGCATTAAGTTAAAGGAATCTATCAAATATTTTCGTATTACGAAGTTTATAGTGTCAGTTCGACTTGCCCCTACCAATGTTTCCCAATTGGGAGATAAGAGTGGAATTTTATTCCACCTACGATTGAGCACCATACATAAAAATAGTTTTTAGATGAGTTAGAATAGCAAGCAAGCTAACGGCCCACCTATTCATAGGCATACAATATTATATATACTTTATAATCTAAGAACGTTAGTTTATATAGATAGAGTATCGAGTCCGGGGTCAACTTTTTGACAGCTAATTGTCCAATTAGCTGATTCGTTTTTTTGTTAATGTTCTATATACTTATGCATATAATGTATCTTGACGTATCTATATTTATTTATTTAATAAATAAAATTAGTTTTTGTACATTAAAAAGATGCAAAAATTATAAAACAAAATAAATATAGAAGTTGTAAAGCTATTATTCATAACTAGGTATATATCACGCAAAATTGTATGAAAAAGTTGACCTGCTTTTCTTGAAACGTTTGTATGGAAACACTATTTATATATTCTAAGCTAAGCACCTATTAGTGGTCACTTTTAGAGATAAACAACATTATGGACATCATAGAACTCCGTGTTATGTCTCATACGTTGTCATTTTAAGGATTAGAACTTTTTTCTGGCGTCTGTTTTGCCGATTCATTTATTCATTATCGTTACTTAACGCCAGGTGAGATTGTATATAAACACATTCAAAAATATAAAAAAAAAACCGCCTAGTACGAGTCCGACTCGTATTAGGTCGGTTAGTATCCATTAGTAATTTTTTTTTAAGAAAAAATTTACTAATGGATACTTTTTTGTGATGTAACTACAAATTTACAATTTTTGTATTTTTCACCCTACGTGTGTTATACGATATTGTTTGTTGCTATATTCCATGATACCAAGCTAATGGGAAAACTATGTTTTAGTTCCCTTGTAAATGGCAAAATTTACGCTAAAAACAGCCGTATGTTTTGATTGCGTTGACTTAGAAGTTTGATTTCTTCACAGCTTCAATTAATTTCTAAGCTAATTTCAGTTCGATACCTCCATTTTCTGTTTCTGTTTCTGAGAAAAAGTGTTTTGTTAGACAGATAAACAGACAGATGGACAACAAAATAATCCTGTAAGTGTTCCGATTTTCCTTTTGAGGTACTGAATCCTTTGTCTTTTTTTCTTTTTTCAATGCCCTCTACCCAAAGGTTGTCTGGAAGAGATTGCTTAGCGATAAGGCCGCCTTTTGTGTTATTTCTTATTACATTTAAATGTATTTACTATTTTATACATGGTGCAATAAAGTGTAAAATAAATAAATAAATAAACCCTATAAATTAGTAATTCGTTACTGACTTCTTTTTAATTATCATCATATCGGCTTTTAATTTTCCGCTGCTGAACATAAGTCTCCCCCTAGGGGGGTTTTGCCAGTACTTATCACGCTTGGCAGAGGGACTGGCAACTGCAGTTAGTCTTTGGAGATGTTTTAAGGACGCTACTGCCCATCTTTCGCCTTCTCTTAGTCGCCTCTTACGACACCCACAGGAAAAGAAGGAGATGGTCTATTCTATTCCGGAACCACACGGGTAAGTTTCTTTTTTTTACACAGATATTTTTTTATTTCTTTTTACCACTACCTAAATATAAATACTAGTGACTACAAATCATACCTGTACAATGTTCAAGTATACTCATTTGTTAAGGTGATACAGATTTTAGGACGCCAAATAATTTATTTGAACATCATGCGGGTATCGAGAAGGATTCATTCTACCTTTTATACATTATGGTCATTAATTTTATAAGGATTATAGTTGACACACGTTATGCTTCAAAGTTATATTGCCGGATTTATGTTAATCCATAACTGCTAACGTATAATGATTTTTAAACGATTTCAGTTAAATATATAGACTTTTCGGACATTTTGGAATTGATTTCCATTATTTTAATTGAATGGTATTGTTTTTTTAGTTCAATGCTAATGTAATAAAAAAATCACAGTTTTTTTTTATGTTACAATAATATCTACCCTCAATACTGTGTCGTTTTGAGTAGATGATCTCCTTGTCGGGCGTTGCGAGCACTGCTCGATTTCCTTCGTTACAATAACGAAAATCTTTTTTCTAGAATAATATGAATATGACTTTTTTGTTTAGTTAAAAATTTGTGAATTGATCTTTTTTGGGAGGCTGAAAAATAACTTTTACTGGAGGTTACAAATATTCCACATCTGTTATTTTTGATGGGCTAGTCAAAGGTTACACAACAATTATGTTAGTTAAATTTATAGAAAAAATAAACCACTTTGTAATCATGAAATTACGTTGTATCACTTGTATTATATTTTCAAAGTAGATATTTAGGAACATATTACGTATCTATCTATTAAACTACTTTTAAGAGCACACAGTTAATAGTATTAATGTGATATCATTACCGTCAACTGAAAGTCCCTAAGTCCTATTAGATCATAAGCCGCTTCTTGCATTTTCGTTTCTCGTCTACTGCTTCAATTTGCAAGCATTCTTCAGAGTCAATTCAATAGAAAATATTAACATAGTCTTACCATTATTAATATTATACATATGCAGTGGGTTTGCTTGTTCGTTTTTTTTTTGTTATCTCTTGTCGTTTTAATTACTTAAACTATCGTTTTGAAATTTGGTATACACGAATCACGAATAGAGGAATGGTGAAGAACATTGTTTACTTCTTATCCCGACCACTTAATGTATTCTGATCAAGTAGACAAAGTCGCAACTAAATGCTAATATCCTGTAACAAGTAAACATTATTATCAATGGATCTTCGTTGTATAACGTACACTGAAGTCTAAAAGAAACTCATTACACTATCAGATGTGGTTGTGTCAAAAGCATTCTTGCTCACGCATTATCTTAATTAAATGGATAGAGCATTAGTGCTGGTTACTGCTCTGTTTGCGCGAGTATTTCGCAAAATCATGCTTAGCAACCCGCAGTTTTCCGTATACATCTCTCTTTGTTTTGTGGCACGACTAAAGAGCTAGACTTTCATTCCGTAGCCAGCTTATTTCACTAAAAGTTGGTAATTTAAGTGTTAATAAATGTTTCTGAATTAACTCACAAACATTTGTTAAACACTTAAATTTAAATGCGATAAGATAGAGGCTAAGTGGGCTTTACACTAAATGCTTTGTGTTGATCACAAAAATTCCAATTACTTCAATAATTAAAATAACTTTTCTTCATGAATGTTTAATACTTTTCCATTTGACATATCAATATATAAATATTATTATTCTTTAGTAAACATGATTAAATTTATTCATTTAAAAATAATAATTTTATCGATCTCTTTCTTATTATTCGAAATGTTCTGCAAAAAATTAGACTTGACATCAATCAAACCAGACAGCGAATAATTCTGTTTATTAAGTTTGCCTTTTTGTTATAATAAGAACCTTTCTAAGGTATTTATAAAATAACTGTATGTTATTATAAAACTATCGATGACTTTAATGTTATGATATCAGAGAAAATGCGTGCAGTTAAAAGTATTCCAAAATTAGAAAATGATGACGAAGAAACTGATGATGACGACGATTCAAATGAAGATGTACCGATACAATGGAGCAATTTAATTTTTCTCCCTTTTCATCCGGTTTTCAAGATAATAGTCTTATTCTCTGTTATACTAAAGACTATACTGGTAAAAATTGTTTAATTTATAAAATTAGTTCTTGTTCAATATTTATATTCTTGTATAATATTCTTGTTAAAATATAAAATATCTAATCATCTTTGTATGTTTTAGTATAAATATTAAAACATACAAAGATGATTAGCTATTTGTTAGTCACTAAGTGAATTTGAATTAAATTTAATGCATAGTTAAACGTACTTTTTGTTCTAAATAACACGAATAAGTTGAGAGTTATAGCTAATTATATATGTAATTCAAAATAAAATTGAGTAAATAATAATGAAAGAAATATATGATTATAATACAAATCTCTTTAACAATAGTAATCTAAAGACTACTAACTACCAAGAACATAACAGTTTTATATAACATATTAGAAGTTTTTATATACGGTATATGTTAAACCTAACGACTGCAGATTAAGAATGACCCAGTTTGCGAATCCTGTTTTCCTAATAGAGGTACCTTCATGTATTTAGTGAGACTTATGAAAAAAGTAGATATGTATGTATGGTTTGATAATCACAGCAATATTAGTCCATTAGTTGTAATCCACTATTTAACTATTAGAAATATTACTAAAATATGAAAAAACAAAAATCGAAGCAGGTGAGTTTTGAACCCGCATCTTCTACGATATTTCGGGGCCAGAACTCTTCTGATTGGAATATGACATTTAGATTAAAATTATTTTTAAGGCAATTTGTAATTAAAATAAATTGATAAAACTAATCTATATCAATAAATTAATTGAAGGAGTTTTTTGTTTAAAATCTCTGAACGACCTGTGGAATTTAAAAAATTGCTTTTGTGTTTGATAGCTTATTTCTTAAGGAAAGTTATTAGTTATTCAATACCACAATACGGCCACGAGCAAAGTCACGGCTTACGGTTTTGAGTAGTAATATTTGAAATAACTTTTAAAATATGATTGGTTAGTTGATTACAATTTATTTAATTTTGTTGCTGCTAGTATGCATGCGACTATCAATTCTTTTCTAATTTCTTAATAAATTTTTTAATCAATTATTTTAAAGAAATTGAAAGTCTAAGGATAATACGGTATCATCAAATATTTCACGTCGATAATATGTCACAGGCAACACCTACGCACAACATTTTTCAAGGAAAGTATCTTATTTAGTTTAATATACTTATTTATTCTTAGGGGCCAATACAATCTGTATATCCAATTGTTTACTGTTCCAACGTAATGGATACTAACTGGTTTACGTCTATTTTGAAGTATTACTATTTATCCTTATGTGATATATTTTACTTCATCGATACGTTACTTCATATTATACATAGGTAAGTGTTCATGTCAATAAGCAGTAAAACGATAGAAAGTATTGGTGAGTTTTATTATAGAGATTTTTATAAATGACTAGTTTTTACCCACGAATTCTTACGAAACCGAGACATGTTCATTGTTCAGGATAAAAAGTATACCTAAAACCTTTTCTATGCCATATAGTACAGACAGACAGTCAAAATTTTTAACAATTATTGTATCGGCATTTATTAATCTTTTTAAGACCTTGTATTTTTTTTAATATCTGTCATGAATAGATATCTTCTATTTACAATTTTATTATATTAGTAAGGTAGGCTGATGGATTAAATTAAAAGAGCGTTTGTCTTTTTCTTTTTCTGATTCTGAAGAAAAAATCCATTTTCTATTGAACGGTTAGTCAACATTATTAAAAACCTAATTATTCCATGAAATCTAGCAGTAAACATGCTTTCTGTTCTTGGAAAGTATGTCAGAATTAGAGTATGTCTAATACAACGTAGATAAACTAGAAGATATGGGAATGTTCCTGAATTCTGAATTGAAAATTTCAGTAGATTTTTATATTATACTAGCTGACCCGACATAATATGTTGTCTTTTCCCAATTCTACATATTTTTTCTTCCCACAAAAAGAAGCTGGCCGATTTTGATTTCATATGTGTACATAAAACATAATTTTACGATTTGAATATTTATTAATTGTCACTAAGTTATTAGATACCATTTCTGTGTTACATTTTATTTTAGGCAAGTCGCAGATAAGGCAGTGAGACGTGAACATCTACCAAAATCGGCACTATTGTTAATATTGGACATAATATCATTAATACCATGTTTCGAGATGGTCAGCTCTGAAGTATGTCCGGAAGTTCAACTGTGGCCAAATGTTTTATGTTTTAATGAATTTGTAATGTAAGTTTTTTTTTCTTTATTAAGAACAACTGAAAGCTTTTGGAAGTTAGTTTCTGTCATGTAAGCAAGAAGGTTCATAACTATGGTCCTTATTAGCTAAAATTATTCATAATAATGAATAATTTTAGCTGATAAGGATATAATATAAGTAGTAATGCTATTGGTAGCATCATGTATATATCATTTGTGATGACTATATTGTTATGTCTTTTTAGATTGAAACCCAATTTATTGTTGATTTAAAACAGAAATTAGTACACCTTAATTTTGTGTATACCTAAATGGCGACAGTCTCAAAAGATCTCTCAGGAATATATAAAAATAAATAACATTATTTTTTTATAAACGACCAAAATTGAGTATACTGGATTGCCTATAGTTCTTAATCTCACATCAACTAGTTCTAAGGACTAAGATGTTATGTTTCTGTATAGAGTAAATTCACCATAATTAAAATGTATAACCCTTACAATCAAAATATGTAGTTATATCAACGAAGCTGTTAGAAGACAAGAACATATATGCATAATAATAATACGTATACATAGTCGACATAATATGTACAGAAATTACGAATTTATTTGCAGCAGAATATTATTGCATGATCCTTAATAATCGTGTACTTCTCTTTCTAGCATTTACAGGGTAGTAGAATATTTCTCTTTAGTAACAACACATTCATTTTGGAAATTATTTTTCGGTTTTACAATTTTAACCGGAATATGCGTAAATTGCGTCTGCTGCTTTTGGTTACTATTAACTGTAGAAGGATTATGTGCCAATTGCAGGAACGGTATATACGATTGGAGAAAATTTGTAATACATAAGGTAAATTATCGGAGTACATTTTCGTTTTTATTTAATTCAAATACAAATTAAAAACAATTTATTGAGATAATTTACGATTACTGAGTGACAACATATGTTTTGTATTCCTGAAACTTCTCGAATTCTACGTTATTAGACTGTAAAACGAGGTTCATAGACCATCAAGCAGATTGAGTTAAGCACAAAGTTTCTTTGCATCTAGTGAAACGTAACTGATATACCACAATGTTAATTTGATTCTTGTGTTAAGATATGCTTGATGCCTACTTGATATAAAATTAAATTTACTGCTCGTTGCAAATCAATTAACATGTTGTGATAAATAAATCAATCAGGATATGTCTTCTACTTGCATTATTGTTACGTTTTTATTATCTATTTTCTATATATATTTTTAATTAGCACAAATTAATGCATTTAATATATTTTCAGCTGAATGAAACTGATAAAGGATATTTAACGTATGTTTATGGTTATTCATTTGTATTATCATTTGTTGTAAACGTAATATTTGATGAAACAAAACCTTCTACTATATTGGAGTATTTTGTTGTCGTTATGTTTATGATTTGTGGCTATTTACTTGACATTTCTGTTATTTTTCCCAAGTTATTTGCGGAATCAATGTTGTCACTTCGAAGAATTTGTACGTACTATCCTCAAATATTAAAGATAATAGATGAAACTCGTAGAAGAAATCCTACGCCTAACGCTCACGTTAATGTCAAAAACTTCTACAAATTGATATGGAAGAAACGAAATGGAATTACTTGTATACCTCCCATAATTAGTGAGTTGCCACGATATTTGAGATTGGATATAAAACAAGATCTTGTATGGCCTGTTTTCTATCATAGTCCTACATTCAGAAAAACCTCAACTCCGTTTAAGAGATGGCTATGCGAATTTATACGTTATGATTATAAGCTTCCAGGAGAAAAAATTTTCACTGGTCCTCATTGTCTCACCAATTTGTATTATTTGAAATCTGGAATAGTACAACTAATGTCAACTGACGATGGTGTTACACCTTTATTATCTGTAACAAGTGGTACTATTTTTGGAGATATTAGTTTTTTTATACCACCATTAAAAAGAAAAATTACTGTTCGTTGCCTCACATATTGTGAGGTTCTTCAAATATCCCGTTATGATATATTGAAGGGTTTACATAAATATCCACATGATAGGCAAGAAGTAATTAAACTAGCACGAAATAGGATAAATCACGCGCGGATATTATATACATGCAAGCAGCATGTTAAAGGTTTAGATATAACTGAGGATGAAGGCATAGCTTGGGTTAAAAGACGTTGGTGGGAGATATCAGAAACCATTGCTAATTATAAAAAGAAAAGTACTAAGAGGCAGTTACAAAAATACGACCTACCGCCAGAAGAAGCAGTTTATCATTGCGCTAAGTACATCGGACAACTAGTGCTATGTAGCGATACTCAGTTACAAACGAAGTCACTATTTACAAAAGATAAGTTTCCGTGGTTATTATCACCCGATTCCACCTTTATACGCGTTTGGAAACTGATTGTTGTAACTACAGTCTTTTTTGTTTTAATTTTATATCCTCCTAACATAGTAAGATACGAGATGGTGAATTGGTTCAGATATTTTAAACACTGGACTGATTTCATATATGCTGCTGATATTTGTGTATCGCTATTTACATCAATAGCGAAACAAGATAGATATAGAACTAACTTTACTGGAGTTATGTTTGCTCGCTGTAAAAGCGTAAGTTTTGTTTTAGACGTTTTAGCAACTATATGGATAGAAGAGTTTACTATTATAATTGGAAAATCAGAATATTACCATGCAAGTCAATTTAATAGATTAATAAAAATTTATATGTTGTTCTGGTCAGATTCAATACCACATAACTTTAATGTTACTAGTGACCCTAAGTACAGGATTTATTGTAGTATGGTTTTGATACATTTTTCCTCTGTCTACGTTGTTGGCCACTTCATATATATGCTATGCAAATATATACCTGGCATGAGTATGTCTTACTTTTTTGGTGCCTATCCTTGTGGAACAACTCCAAAGATTCGTAACGATAGCAAATGTGACCCAGCAGAGACTGATATATTTTCTATAGCAATTGCATGGACATTTGAACTACTATTTTCTGAATTTTTGCCACATAACATATTAGATATCTATACTGTGATGTTGGTCAGTTATATTGGCTTTCTAACATATACGTTTTTAAAATCTAGGTTTATTGCTTTTCTTTATTTAAAATATAGAAATCTTATTAATTATCAATTTTTTGTGTCTAATTTGAAAAAGTATTATGAACATCACAAAATCCATCGCAATCTTATGAGACGTTTGAACAGATATTTAGATTGTCATTGGAAATATTATAAAGGAATAGATGTGATGCATCCACATTTATTAAAAGATGAACCATATGATATATACTGGAAAGTTCATGGTGAAATCGCAGAGAAAATAATTGGTCATTCAGTGGCGTTTGCGGGCGCTGAATATTCATTAGTAAGAGAACTCGCTTATGCTTCTAAATTTTTGATATTGCCGAAGAGTGCCACACTATTTTTATTTGGTGTTTCTTGCAAGAATGTCACTTGGATAGTTCAGGTTAGCAAAGTAAAATTTATTACTCGATATCTTCTGTTGTTAATATGTACTATTTTTAAAATTACAACAAAATGTCTCTTAGTGGTATAATAATGTTATTTGAATTGTATCATATTTTAGTACCCAAAACGAGTGTGGCGCAGTTTATAAACATTTTTGTTATTTTATGAAAAAGATTTTACAATGCAACAGTTAAATTATGGTATAATATACGTAATTGTATTTTTAACCAGAAATAATTGCTCATTTCATATTAACAAAGGGTTATGTGAAAATCGAGTACCATAACGAAGACGGGGAGTTACTGAAGACGTTTTACGGGCCTGGGCAAATGGTGTCGGTGACCTCAGTTTTGCTTGGGCAACCATCACAAAGAACTTATACTTCATGCACTGAATGTGAGGTAAAAGGAAAATTTTAGCTGTTATACAAATTTTAGTCTTTAAATAAAATGTAGATATTACAGATGAATATATTGAAAAAATATAAAATATTACGTCTATCCCAGATAATTGGGGAAAGGGCAGGAAAATTATGATATCTTGTAAACATAATATTTGATATAAAAATTAATATTAGCTAAAATATTAATCTTAATGCAAAAAAACTAAGTGTGTATGCTTAAATGTCAGAGGGAAGAGTTAGCAAGAGGAAATAAAAATATTATGCCACATTTATTATTACTTATTTATTTGATAATTCTATTGAAAGACATAAATGAATAATACAATTTAAAACAACTTCTAGAAACTGCTTACATAGTGGAAAATATCACCTAGTAATAGAAAATTATAATGATTTGTTCCAGATTTTATATATCAATTTAGAGGATTTTTTCAATATTATCAAACGTTATCCAAATGAATGGTCATATTTTCATACTTGCATTCATGAATATAGACCACTCTTTTATGAGTTATTTCAAGTTTATGTCAAAAAACATAGCGAGGTAAGAACGAAAATTTTGGACCTTATTTTAAAATAATTCACCTTGAAAGTAATTTTTTTATTTGAATGAACTCGAATGCTATTATATTAGTTAAAGCGCAAAAGTATCACTGGCAGATAGATGCAATGAAATGATCATACTATTAATAGTTCAGAGAATCGTTTTTCGAAATAATAACGGACATATTTTTTTATTTTTTTCGATAAGCTTTTATATTGTTTTGAACGAAAAGTTTAAATATATTTTAAAAATCAATAAAAGTTACCCATTATAAAAAAATATTAATTTTCAAATGTGACAACCTATAACAATACCATACTGTTTCTTTAATAATAACTATTAAAAAAAACATACAGAATTATAGGTAATAAATGGGAAAAGGCGAGTTAATATTATTATTTTAGCTGGTAATATTATTATTTTAAGTTGATATGATATTTAAATTAGGAACATTATTTGTATAAGATATAATGCTTGTTCTAGTATCAAAAAAGACTACGCGATCGTATTTTTCATGCCGTAACTACAACTTATAAAGAGCCGCTAAATGAATTAGTATATGAACAAGAGATATTATGGTCACCTTTAAAATCTGATTATTTTTTGGATCCTGAATCAGAGTAAGTATTTGTACTTCTATACATTATTGAACTAATTGACAATCCTTTAATTATATTTTATCATTATTATTTATACTTATTATTGTAAGAGTATTTTGTATTATTGTTATTATTATATTGAAAATAAACAATAGATCACAATAGCATTCAAAATGAATTTAGGAATGCTCAATTTGCTTTATGAATATCTTTAGAAACTTTGGATTCTACATCTTTCAGGGAATAAAATTATCGGAAAGTATTTTTTTTCATATTTAAGGTGGTAAACAAACGTTCATCAAACAAACGTGGATGCCTGTAATAACTGTATCATGTACACGTTACTGATCATAGAGAAATCTTAATACAACCTTTTCGAAGAATCTTTATATTGTAGTCTCTAGAAAGAACCTCTGTTCTTATTCTATAGCCTAAGCATTTGCGGAAGGAAACTGAAACTGCATTGTCCTTAACCATTTAGGTTTTAGCGTGTAAAAAATAAAGTAATAATTGTAGACATAAAATTTAAATAAAACCATTGTCGTAGTAGTTGTTAATTATTATGTATGGCTGTGTTTATGCTGTAAGTTTAAAAATTCTGTGGAATGAGGCGTTATAAGTGAAAATGAAGTCAGGCCAGTTACTCCATCGTGATGAATTCATTATAAATTAACCAAGATGGTTTTTGGAGAGCTGCGTGGCAGTCGACCTAATTGTATCCCATCTATCACCATCCTATGTAGCACCATATACCCATCATATATATTTCTTGCTTAGAGGATGTTGATTTTCCTTACTAACAATCCCTTCTCCGGTATATAATGGAAGTAAGCGTTGCAGGTAGCACAATAATAACATTCTTGTTTATCTGAGCTTCTTTGGTACATGGTCCTAACATATAATAGATTAGTCCTCACTTTTAAATCATATTGGGTAGGTGTAATATATAATATTTAATAGATTTATTTCCTATATGATTAGTAGGTCTTCGCTTTTAAATCATATAGTGTAGGTGCAATATATTAATAGATTTATCTTAATTAAAATTCACTAACAATGTTTTATATTTTACCCGCTACTTAATTGATAACGTAAATATAGTGAATAGGCAGAATAAAAATAATATTGATTGATTTTTTGACTGATTTTTTTCAGCTTTATTCGCTATTGGATGTTATTTCGTGTTGTTACTGTCGTGGTGTCTATAACGACTGCATCTCTACAAGGTATATACATATTTGAATATTATATTTTACTTATAATAATTATACAAGAAGTCGATAAAGTTTTTAATAAATAAATATATGTATTTCGTTTTGAAGGTGGAAGCGGCGCAATGTTCAAATGGCCATTGACTATTATTAGTACTTTTTGCGATTGCATTGCATGGATTGATATTATAATAAAGTTGTTCGTAAGTCTATTTGATATTTAGGGTTTGCTTAAATGCATCCATATTTTATCTGCAAATAAAATTTCTCTATATGTAAGTACTTGCAAAATACGTGTGCATGTTGTTGAATTATAAAATTATTAAAGGCCTTAAGCCTTTATTATGCCGAGAACTACATATCTCTCATCAGTGTCATTTATATTCGTATTAGTAGGATATAAGATGGAGTAATATCACAGAAAAGAGTTTTTTAGGCCATGATAATACCAGCTGTTCTCTGCGGCTTTGTTCGCGTGAATCAGTATATAAAGTATATTATATGTTTAGTATAATCTGCTTTGTGTAAAATTTTATTCAAATTAGTTCTGTTGTTTAAGCGTGATTGAGTAACAAACATTCAAACATCTTTATAAACTTTCAAATAATATAGTAGATATTAGTATGATACTATGTTGTAAATAATACTTCCTCATAATTCCAGTTAGCTTACTACGATGAAAATGGTATATTAATCTATAGTAAACGAAGATGCGTATGGAACTACCTGTCGCGGGGATTTTTAATGGATGTGATAGGAACTTTACCAGTATTTGAGCTTTGCAGACTCGTATTGAGGCAGAAAATATCCATTGATCAAATTATGCTTATAAATACTGTTTGTAAATTTGCCCATTTATATATTCTGACAGGATATTTCAATTACATTGCCGACGTGCCCTCAATAAATAGTGGTTACCTGTTGGTTAGTTTTAATTAATTTCTATTTATGATTATATTCCAAAATTGACAAACTTAATATAAAATCGATATACTCGTAAAAGTAATTCGATACCAAATAATATACAATAAAAATTGATTTATAAATTGACGAAAATATTGCGGAATATACCACAATGGAAACCAACTATGAAACATTCCTTTTTTAAAGTTGTTTGTAAAGCCAAGGAGGTATACTTTTCCCATTGTGGAATTGCAAACAAACTTATAGTTCACCTGATGGAAAATCGTAATAGTTGCCTTTAAATATGAACAATACCACTGGACTTTACAGAATACGTTGTATGTAAGTCTATGATTGTCATGCATTTACATTATCCAAGATTAAGATGTCATCTCCATCTTTAATGTCACTGTAATATATACATATGCATATATTTGTAAGCATAATAACTCATAGCTTTAGATCCAGTACTAATAGGTAACATCTTGGTTGAGATGATCATGCTATGAATATGTATTGAGAATTAATATTTATTGTTACATAGTTATTAAAAGTTCTACTTATCTTTCTAAATTTATATATGAAATCTATATCAAATAAAAATCGATCTCAGATTTGACATACTAAATTGATAAACTATTTAATTATAGATATTAAAATGGCAAATAGTAACAATACTGATAATGTTAGGTGGAAGCCACTATCTGATCAGTTATTGTATTGAATTCACGTTTGATGCAAAAGATAACCTTATTCACATGGCTCGTAGGAATACTTGTTGGATTCCATCCTATATGGTTTTAGATAATGAACCCACAGTACACCAATTGCATTTAGTAAGTATTATTTTTTATCCAAATTAGTATGACAAACATTCTAACGATGTACCTGATAGAAAGTGGTAACCGTTATTATACATTTATTGGTATTATTAGGACCCCTTATATTATATTTTCTCAAATATTCTTTATGTACAGACATTTTAGGTCTAGTTATAATTTTTTATATTAATAAGATTATGAAGTAGTATTATTTGATTGCTAGGTCTTCTCAAATTCCTCCCACTTTATTATTTATTTTTAATGTCTCTTTTTATGCAACTTAGAATGGCAAACAAGTTGATGGTTATATGTCTTGTCTGAAAATGTCTTTTGAACATAAAGCTATTGCTATTTTCGGGCTTTTTTTTCTGGAGATCTTTTTTCAACTTTTAGCGAATCTTTATATCTGATGAAATTTTTATCCTTAATCTTCAGACATTTTTTTATTCCACATTTAACTCAATCAAAAGATAAATTTTTTAAAATAATTTTTTAATGATCCTCTAAATTATATAAGGAACTTTATTGCAAAATTTTATAATTGTAAATTCAACGCTTTAGACTGTAAATTGTCAGTAAACCATTGCCGGCATACAATTCTTAAAGTTTATCACCTTTAATATGTCACTAGTTTCCACAATAAAAAATTAAATAATTATTTTTAATTCAACATTTAGTTATTTGCCGAAAGCATAAATTTAGCCCAATCAGGACTCATGAAAATGAATATGGGTAAGTTTCGTATAGAACGAAACTGCCTCGGTGTTGGCTTCACGCTTTTCGTACTTGGAATTTTGTTTTGGTGAGTTAATTGTAATAATTAGCTGTAGGTACAATGTAAATAATTATTTATTATATAGCTACTTTTTTCATAATGGTTGATTTCAGCAGCTGTCAGAACAAATACCTACAATACATAGTTTTATATTTTTCTAGCTTTTTTTCCCACTACTTCGTACGTGTGGATTTTAGAAATAGGAAAACCAATGAAATAGACCACTTATAGTTGGCGTATTTAAATAAAACAGACAGACAGACAAAATTATATATAATATTGTTTTGGTTCCTATTGCTCTTATAAAGATCCTTGATTTAAATTTTTTTTAAATATCTCCCACGTACAAGCGCCGTCTGGTTACAATTTTATTATATTAGTAAGATACTATTGAAGTAGCTTACCTACGGTTCGCTCGATACAATAAACTCATCACTAGAAATAAATTGGAGTGCTGTGTGTGTTTTGTTAATATCGAAAAAATGTTTCTACTCTCTTTTTTTAAATTCTTTTTATATTTTGTTTAGATGAATATTCTTTTTTTAAAATAGCCAAGTAATTATACTCGTATAATGATAAATTTTAGGTATGTAATATGCTATACTCTAACAATCCTAGTACTCACTAATCGAGGAGATACTTTATATCAACATAATGTCAGTCAACTATGGAAATTTTTACAAGCCGAAAGGGTCGACAAGAAACTTATACATCACGCTGTTGCACATTTTAGCTATTGGTGGATAAGGTTAGAATTTCACTTACAAAATAATTAAATGAAATTTTCAATATACATAAGTACAATCTACATAAATACGAGTACTTTTATATATTTTATATTTATTTTTATTTATTAGTTGGTGAATACATCACATGAGAACGGGTGAACCGATTTAGTTTTTTTTTTTTATTTTGTTCGATGAAAATTGAAATTTGAACAATATAACGCGTTTGTCGAGTGACATAGTTTTTAATAACGTTGAATGGAAATTTATTAAGAAAAAATAAAACGTTTTTGTATTTATTCTAATAAATGAATCTTTATGTGTAATTAAATTTGGTACTCTTTATAATTACATCTTTAAAACAGCATTACATAACCATTCTTTGCTCTATTTTAGATCATGAAGGAGAAATTAACTATATATTTATAGGTTGCCACATTATTTTGTATATTCGTAAAGATTTCATTTTACAAATTTGTAAATAGTTTAAAATGTAATGGACATATCGGGTGCATTCAAAATTTTATTTCATAAAAAGAAATAGGTGTCGAGAGAGTATATATATATTAGACTCTTATATATTTACTATATATAAGTAAGTAGTTATATGATTAACAAGGGAATTTGTCGTCTAGAAGTCATTGATAATGACTGTCCTCTTTCTATTAAACGTATTTGGTACATATATATTTCAAGTCCAATAACGAATCGGTGTTAAACTTTATCTAAGGAAACATGGCAAGAGTGGGGACAGTAATGTTCTACATAAACTACTTGAACATTACTTCAGTTATCAAAATTAATATTAGACTTGCATTTTGCTTTTGGCTGTTTATTGTTAATTTGGTTATAGTAGAGATAATTATGATTTGGAAATTACTCAGTGTTTAATAATTACTTAATTATTATTTACAGAACAAAAGGAATTAATATACAAAATTTTATAAATAGCCGTATTGGTCTTATATTCAGACAAGATTTGAATTACTACTTCTTTAAAAAGTATGTATATATAAGTCGATTTTGTTCTTTGTAGGTAGTCAAGTAACTGATATATCCCTGTTTAGCCGCTAAGAAAACTGGCGTGATATTTAATATAAACAAGTGATGGCTACAATAGGTATAAGTAATAAACACTGGCTGAAAACAAAGCTTGCTTTGTAGTCAAAGTAGAAATTTTGTTTTTTATTTTTTTACTATATGTAGTTAGTATTTGTTAACAAATTTAATTAACATAATTTTCTAGAACATTCAAGGCTCTGGATTCTATAATAAATTGTGGCGAACCTTTTGAGCGTCTTCTATCCAGCGTTTGCTCTCAAATGTATTATCTTCCATCACAAGAGATTGTGAGAGAAATGGACTTAAGTCCTTATATCTTCATTGTTCATAGAGGAAAAGTGGCCATAAGTCAAGATGAGGAGAATCTGGCTGTACTCACCAAAGTAATTAATATTTTCTAATTGCCTATAATTAAAAGTTGAAATAAAAATAATTAGCATCTTGTAAAGAAGTTTTCTATATGTGAAAATAAATATTTTTCTAAAATAAATATGGCCTTAATAAATCTCGTGAAAATTGACAAAAACAAATTGTCTCTCATACCATAAGTCTATCCAGCTATTAAGTTAGGTAGAGCTGTAACTACGTAGAAGGATGAGCTCAAATAATTTGCAAGAAGCCAGTAGCTTAGAACTTATTGGTACTATTCCTTATAGCTGTCGACTAGCGCCAATTTAAGCGTATCTTGGGCATATTCGCAATGAAACGCCAAATATATTAATTGTATACCAATTACTGTTCTCGATCACAATACGCCATAATTTCTCAACCTTATTTTGTCCACTGCCTACTTTGCCAATATGTTTTTATTTTATTTATTATTATTTATTGTTTTCTAATTTTACTTACCACCTACTTTTTTAGACTATATTTTTTAATCTGCCCCGGCCCCTCTCTGCGCCATCTCATTGATGAATGGTCTCATCTCTCGCCCTCTATTTTTTATGGGTCTTCTACTGCTTCCCTGAAAGTTTGAAGTGCCCACAAGGGAACGTTACCACTCCTTTTGAGAACCTATGCACTATGCGCAAGATCGGTCATTATGTCTATTCTAGAAGAGTCAGTGTTCAATAGTATGTCTTATACAATTAATATGTCAATCATCATTATCATCTTTTTGGCTTTATCCCATATCTATTAAGGTTGACGTATTATAGAAACAACCAAGCAGATAGTTCACCTTATGGGAAGCGACTACTGTCTCGTCCTACTTAATATTTTCTTTAAAACATTATTCTCATCTCTATGCATTACATGACTATACTAAGATATACATAGTTATATATTTGTTTAGTACTGCAAAATCTTTGTTGTACCTACGTACTTTACATTGGACGCATTAAAAAGATTTAATATAAGTACAATGGCGGACTTATCCCATGTATATGTTTTTTTTTTTTTTTTTTTTTTTTTTTCTTTTTTTTTTTTTATATATTTAGAATCATATTATTGTTCAAATCTAATAGTATATGTTAATATGGCGTTATAATATTTTATGTTCTTTGTTCCAGGGAGCAATATTTGGTCAGCTTAAGGGGATTGTACCTCGACCAGTCCGTATTTCAGCTGTCGCCGATGGGTACGCGGATATTTTACAGATACCCATAAAACAATTCCATGATATTATTGACGATAAGGTAAATATTTATCACACTAATAAATACAGTAGGAAAAGTGAATGAGAAACGATAAGTACTTATAATAGAAATAGGTATTAAGATTATTTAAGAGTAGAGATTCAGGTTCAGTATACGAAATTAATCTTTATGTAACTCATGTATGTAAAGTCGATTTTTTTTTATTTAGGCAAGGCTTTTCAATTTTCAATTATTTCAATTATGAGTCTTAATATAAAACAAGCTAAACTAGACAGGAAAATAACTGCTGAATTAGTAATTATTAGTGTATAATTTAGCAGTTGTTTTCCTGTCCAGTTGTCTTAATAGACAATTGCACTAAATTAAAATATTGTATTAAAGTTGCCTTTAATATGGTACATTTAGTTTAGGTTACAGATTCTAGTATGTATAGATATATACAACATATTTAGATATTAAATTCATACAGGTTAGAGAAAATATAAATCGGAACTACCAGTCGGAGGATGATTATATGGAAACGAAGAAACGTTATTATGAAAATCCTTACAATACAGTAAGATATATACTCCGTGGTCGGAAAACTATAAAGCTTCCGGTAGGTTGATCTAAAATGCTTATAGACTCGACTTAGAATGCTGAGAATGAGATCTTCTTTTTAGTATTTTATAGATACGACTTCAAAACGACTAAACAATGAATGACTGATTGAAAACTCTTTATTGTTCCTTTCAAAAAATTATACACATTATAAAGGTATTATAAATAAACTTAATTACATAAAAGCAAGATAAAGAGGCAATAATGAGCGGTCTTATTGCTAAATAATTTCTTTCATGCAGCCTTAGGATGGAGAGGAATCATTTAAAACGTATGTGAGAAAAAAGAGGTTTAAGATAAATTTAAACGCAGTACAAATAATATAGATAATAATATAGTTGCACACAATAATAAAAAGATACTTATAAACTTTTAAACTATATGTTATATACTATTATGCATAACAATACGTTAATTTCCCATCACTGGATATTATCTGGCTTCGTGTTCTGGTCTACTATTACCACGCTGGTCGGGCGGTTTGTTGTAGGTTTTATATTGGCAGTTTTTCTTCTACTACAATTTCCATATGATCTTATAGTTAAATTTATCTATAAAAAATATATAGCATTGTAAAAAGAATTATCATGACTAATAAATTACACGCCCCACATCACAAATGTAATTTACCATAAATGGAGTTCATTACAAACGCAATAGTCACTCATTTCTTCAACAAATTGCGAACAGATATCGGTTCTAATCGCTGACTACGAGTATCAACGCACATAAAACGACGTTTTATGGTGTCCCGCGGTTTGAGATGTTTCGGATAAGACATCTCTAAGAATCTCATTCACACTAATGAGTAACAGATTCACTTTAAGTGTTTCATTAATTCCGATTGCTCACCGCAGGCTCTAGTTCAGTGTTTCTCCAACACGTTGATATTGTTGTACTTAAATTATTTCGAAAAATGCTAGTTAAAGTACTACATAAGTTTCCTTAATACATCTTGGCAAATCGAATTCATTGTAACTGTATTGTTATATGTCATGTTAATTGAAATTATTATGAGTACTAATTATCTCCAAACCAGTGTTTTTAAAACTTGTTGAAACCCTGAAATTATTTAAAAATCTTCTTTTTTATAATTAACTCGAAACAAAATACAAACAAATTGATTATAATAACGATAATTGGTACATCGAATTCACGGAATTGAAATTATCTTTCGTGAAATTGGATCTATTCAATTATATTATGATTAAACCCTTGCCATATATATATATAGGTACTTCTTACCATACCACCACCAGTAATTAAATTTCTAATTTCTAATATTATTTAAAGTAACTATAAATTAACTACTACTAGTTGTAGAAGGTAGTATAACGGTGTCGTAAAAGGCGACTAAGGGACGGCGAAGGATGATCAGCAGCGTCTTTCCTAAAACATTTCTAAAGCTTAACTGCGGTTGCTAATCCATCTGTCAAGCATAAAACTATATATATATATATATAACTATACTTTTGTAGTGGATGTTATTACCAATGGAGGCGCGCAGTAGGTCGTGGTATTCCAAGTGGTTGACTGTGGTTTGGTTGTGTGGACCGTTCGTTTCAGCTGTTATCGTCCTCATTCTCAATACATTGCCGATTGACTGCAGAATGAATGCAATCTGGATATTATTAGCTTTGGATCTTTTACACTTGGCGCATTTCTTATCAGAATTTTATACGGTAAAACTTGTTGAATTTCTTTTTTATACAATATGGAATATGTCGCCGTGTAGGTCCCTATATAATAGTATAGAATAGGTCACCCCTTCCTTTCCCGTGGGTGTATTAAGAGGCGACAAAGGGAGCTGGTCCCTCTTAAAATATCACCAAAAGCCAAACTGATTGCCAACCTGCCTGCCGAGCGTGACAACTACTGGCAAAACTCCCCTTATGGGAGAGGCTATGTTCAGCAGTGGACAGTTAACTGCTGATATAACAACAATATGGAATGGGATTTTTGTTAGGTGAGCCATCACCTTTTTACGATGATCCACTTAATGGAAAAAATGGTAATCATCATTACTGTGATCGGGATGTTTGCTGCAGCTCTTGCGTTGTAATTTCCAAAAAGAACATATGTTTTATATTCATTCAAGACTGAAAAGAGCAATTGAAGTATTATTTTTTCCTTCTAACGTTTAATGTAAAGGTTTACACATATTTTATATAGCAGCAAGGAGGATAAACTCCATACTGTTTTTATATAATGAAATATGATATTTTATTTCTCCTTGATCAGGTATAAAAATCGAGATATTTTTACCATAAAAGAAACATTTATCTGTTATTATTCGTGTTTTATCCCATTTCTCAACCTTTCTATTTCTAGATGGAGCTAACAGTTATTCATGATAAGTGCGTAAATCAAGTTGTTGGTTTACGAATGTTCAAGAAATTGATATTTTATGTTGATATCTTGTCCCTTGTAGTGCCTTTAATGACATTAGTAACTGGTAATTGGACATATCAGATTGCCAGATTGTTGAGACTGCACCTGTTATATCAGTTTCATATGCATTTCTGTAGGAGTTTTAAGGTAATGTAATGTGCTAATTGTTTAATTTGAGGATTAAAATATAAATAATATATTTATAATTATCGTAATAATACTTAATTACAATTATTACAGTAGTTATAGGTGCTGTATTTATCATTAATATTAGTTTGTTTAGAGTTTCCGACATTTATTTTGTTGTTAAAATATTTAGGTTGTAAATAATCATGATAAAATTTTAAAATAGAAATTACTAATGATTATTTTGATAGTTATACAGAGAAAATATAAAAAGAAGTCAATAAACAAAATATAAAATTTTACAGAGCAAGGCGGCTCCGCTTCTGATGAAGTTCATAATTTTGTTTTTACTACTGCATTCTATGATATGTGGATGGATATACGTCGGCTGTAGGAGTGAGTTTACATTGTAGACACCTTTTTTTATTTTGAAGCGCGCATTGTAACGAGCCATTCATCCCAATTGAAGCCTCTTGTGTTTGCTTACATCGTATTCTGTTTGCAACGTATAAATTTATATTCTGTGTCAACTTTTGAATTTTAACCTAATTACTATATAGCCGAAGAAATATAGTGATATTATTGGATATAATTAACATTATTTATTAGTATAGTGAGTAATGTAAACAAGTTAGCTAGATGCTCTTCTAATTTGAGAGACTTTGTTTTAACATACTCACCAATTATAATATGTACTTCATTTTTATTTCCAACTGACTTTAAAAAGAAGGAGGTTCACAATTTGGTTGTATTTGTTTTTATATTTATTACCTCACAACTTCGCAAGTTATACAGCGATTTGAAAATTTCATTTTTTTTAGTTGTTCAGATTGGTCTCACAGAAATTTTATCGAAATCGATTTCGTAGTTTAGTTTTTGTATCAATTTGCCATTTTGCCGATTTTGCCATAACTATGGAAGACAATATTAGATTATTTGTTCTACAGGAAGTGATTTTCCTGTACCTATATTGGATGTACCAGAAGATTTTAATAAAACTATAGATTATCAAGAGTGGCAAAATCCGAAAGATAGACAAGGAGGTAATCGTATTACTTACATAAAAGTAATATTTTCTAAAGACAAAAACTAATAATTTTGAAATTTATTTCAAGGAAATACATTATTGGTATAAAAAGTATTGTCAGTAATGATATCTAGTGGATCCATAGCTAGCAATATATCTACTCTATTAGGTCGAACTCCATGTGCTCCTTCCAAATCCTCATAGTTAATACCTGGACTGTTTATCATGATAGTTCAACTGACATGACATAATCCCTACCTTGCCTGAGTATTGATATTGGTACACTTGCTACACTGCGTAAGATGGGTTATCATTTCATTTCACCCCTTAAAAACTAGTACCAATAGTGGCTAAAAATAGAATATCATGTTTTTAGGCTTCCTTCCATTGTCTTTAGGTTAAATACTCATTCAAACCGTTCTATAGAGTCGTTTTAAGTGTACTTGCGTAAATTAATATATTTAATACAAAATTGGCGACGAGTTTTTGAATTGTGCTGGTTTTTGAAATAATTAAAGCCGTAGTTAACAACACTTCATACAATAATGGCGTCCACAATAAAGTATAAAGAAATAAAAATGGCGTAATGGTTTTCCTACATAAACAAGTATACATATATATATTTAATATTATTTTATTTCGCTCTGTAGGATAAAAATGAAATCGGTAGCATCTTTTTGTTTTTTCTTCTACAGAACGAAAAGAAATTTTGGTTGTCAACATAGTATGGGACTTTTGCCTTTTGTTGTTATTATGATGAACGTGATACTCACTCAACGTGCCCACATTAAAAAAAAATCTTATATTAAAATCTTATTACATTGAAATCTTCCACAAAGTTCTGTAGGCACATCTATCTCCCTCAGCTGTCAGGGCTTAGTGCATTTCCAATTACGTCACGGTAGGATTACTATCAAAGATATTTACTTGCAAATGTTTAATCTAATATTTAAACTGTACTCGTAGGTTGCGCAAGAATTACGCGTAACTTTAAACATGAAGGTGAATCAAGAGTGAGTTTCGTTGTACCAAAAAGCTGGCAACATGATTACATTGTGGCTTTAAACTTTATCATACTTCTGCATACGCATACTGTTTTGGACACCGTAAGTTTAAATTATTTTCCTTTTATGTAAAGTTTTTAATAAATATTTATAAGAAAATTACACATTTGCTGTAGATAGTATGGTTAGACCACTACTCATAGACTGCTATAAGATGATATCAGCCATTAACTGTCCACTACTGAAATATATATACTAAACCCCCTTTTGGGTGGTTTTGCCAGTAGTTGCTATGCTGGGCAGGCGAGTTGGTAATTGCAATTACGCTTTGGTACTGTTTTAAGAGGTACGTTTCTGCCCATCCTTCCACCATTTTTTCTTTAATCAACTCTTACAACATCTACGGGAATGGGAGCGGAGGGCTTATTATATGTCAGTACCACACGGTCAACTGCTATAAGGGATCGATTAAAATGGAACAATTATTTAATCAAAACTATTACTTCTATAATGTTTATTATTTGTGATACCTTTATTAAGCCTGTTTATATAGTTTCACACAAATTTTAATAAAAATAATATTTCAATATATGTATTATTTTGCAGAAATATCAAATTATTATTAATACATTATTAAAATGCTAAGACTGACTTCATTCGCATAACTGGGATATATTATGTTTTTGTCCCGATTAATCATAATCGGAATAACGAACGAGATTTTGCTCCATAGGAAACAGCTACATCAATCATGACAAAGTTAATACGGGACCGACATGGATATAAAGATCTATCGACTGAAAAAAATAATAATCATTATAATCGATTTAGAATTAGCGAAGATATCACGTAACTTACACACAAAAACACGTGCGAATTGGGAACTTATACTTTTTGTTGTACTTATGTTATTTTCTATATCAAATACCTTAGTATTTGATCGTCAGTATTCTCTTTTTATTTCTTTCTATTTTTGTTTATACCATGACTATTAATTGAAGTCATTAACATATCATGAGGTAAGAATGAAATTTACTCTACACTTATAATACTCAGAATATATTTATAGTAAATATGTAACGTTTATAAGTTACATTTATATTTACAATTATTATATTGCTATCTTTTACCTACGACTTTGTCCGTGTGTCAGAGATATGTTCATTGACTGGAATATAAAGTGTTCTTCGGTTATAATACTCAGAATATATTTATAGTAAATGTATAATATTTATAATTTACATTTATATTTACAATTATTATATTACTATCTTTTACCCACGACTTTGTCTGCGTGTCAGAGATATGTTCATTGACCGAAATATAAAGTGCCCTTCCCTATTCCATATAGAATGTGTACCTATATCAAATTTTACTATTATTGATTAACCCGTTAAGGCGCTATAAGATTACAAACAAACATACTCTTTTTTACTTTTATAATATTACTAAGTATACTATATATGTATATATACTAAGTATTTTATAATATTACGCCGTATATGCTCCGGCATAGAATGGGCCACCCCTTCCTTTCCCGTGGGTGTCTTAAGAGGCGACTAAGGGAGGGCGAGAGATGGGCAGCAGTGTCTCTCTTAAAACATCTCTAAAGGCCTAACTGCGATTGCCAACCCACCTGCCAGAGGTGGCAACTACTGGCAAAACAGCTCTTATGGGGAAGCCTTATGTTCAGCTGTGGACAGTTAACGGCTGAACATAATAATATAACTAAGTATTATTCAACGTATCTATCTTGTTGTAGGTTATGACACTATCCATTGCGGAAGTTTACTACAAGATTTTTATAAACTTCTTTATATACTTGATTGATATATGGCTGATGAGTACAGCAGTGAGTGCGGTTTACACCATGTTCCGCGAGCTATATCAGTACGATTTTAATGTATCTAATCTAACCTCGTACCTCAACCATAGTGGATTATCACCGGCACTATTGAAAGCAGTGAAGAAGTACACTAAACAATTATGGAGAAGGCAAAAAGGTAAATATCCATAGAAATAATAATGAAATATGATTCATTAATAAGCGTAATATTTGGAAACAGGAGGGATTTTGTACAAAAGTCGTTTGCTCGGGCACCTCTGTCCCATTCGTGTTTTTACCGTGAAGCAGTTGTGTTTGCATGGCTGTGTTTCGGTTTGAAGGGTGGGATATTTACAGGGCACAGAGGAATAACATCTGAGTCCTCGGGAATGGCAACGCATGAGGGGTATCATAGGTGAAACAGTATACTCTATTATGTCCATGGTACTACTCATGTCTATAGGCGACGGTTACCACTTTCCATCAGGTGGATCGTCAGCTTATTTGCCATTCTAAGTTGCATAAAAAAAGGAACTGGTTTATAACGAAAGAAAGATTTGAAAATTGGGAAAAAAATAATTGTATTAAGAATCACAATCATAATTGATGTTACAAATGATATCATTAATTCTTCTCATCACGTCAAAGTACAAAATAAATAAGTATAAGTCCCATACAATTACACCTTTCGCATGGTTCTTACGCTATGATACCCTGCGTTTTGAAGAATCAGAAAATGAATATCTGGAGCACAATCCAGAATACCTAGACCCAAGATAGAAAAGCTTGTGTCCTAAATTGACCTGACCGGTAATCGAAGCCCGGATCTTACTTACGCAAAGAAATATGTAAAAAAGAGATTACACAAGCTCTTATTATTGTACCAAAGTGCTTCAAATAGATTTGTTTTAGTTGATTCCAATAATAACAAAGTAACACAGTAAAAGAACTAGTACCGATCTTAGAATATGGTCGTATTTTATTTATTAAATGTTGGTAGAATTAGTAAATACATTAATTTCTAGGAAATTGGCTACCAGAATTAGCTCATCAAGCACCGATGTGCCTTCGGGAAGATCTCCTCAGTGCGTTGTATATGCACCATATACAAACACCCCCACTGTTTCGACTACTGCCTCAATACTTTGCAAGGCAGCTGGTTGCAAGGGTACAAAGGATTGTGATATTTCCCAGTAAGCATATTAAAATGATTTATGTACCGACTTCAAAAAAAGAGGTTCTCTATTCGGTTTGTTACCTCATAAGCCGAAGGGAAGGAGGCTTGTTTGAATCAAAGCATTTGGTTACATTGTTTCTGCCTGCCCTAATGGGAGACAGATGTATTTATGTATGTTACCTCATAACTCTATGTTGTAAACCGATTTGGAAAACTCTTTTTTTATCTAAAAGGATAATGTATCCTTTTAATCGGTAAATATTTATGCAACTAATCAGTAAATATTACTCATTAGTCGTATAGAAGTTTTATCAAAATTGATTTAGTAGATTTGAAATAAAAACAATTGGTTTTGCTACAATTGAAATCGGGATTTTTCGATTGTTTTATTTTTTTATTCAAAATGATCGGTTTTGCTATAATTGATTGTAGGATTTTACGGTTCAATAGTTTAGTTTTTAAAATAGGTCTTTTTTCTATGGAACACAATTTTATAATTATCATTTCAATTTGATTCGGGGTCTCATATGGGGCAGTGTAGTGCTTGTTTTCAAACAAAAATTGCATTTGTGATTTTCGTAATTTATATATTTAGCAGATATAGAATTTTAATTTACAATTTAAAATACTTCTATATTAATTTGCTTTTTTAACTGAATATGAAATTTTGTATAAATGTGTGATTAAATGCAATAAACTTACTTTATAATATTATTGCTTATTAGTATAGTACAGTATTTATTTATTTAGGAACACCAATAGCATATTGCATTATAACATATATAACAAACATTTAATACAATTAATTATAAAATAATTAATTGTATTAAATATTTATATTGTGATTTTGTATTAAATGTAATAATTAATTATGAAATATGACCTATTGGTCATATTTCATACTTGTGTTCTTTTATCGTTACATTTCAGATAAGTGCATTGTACAAGAAGGCGATATTTTTTCATGTATCTATTTCATACATGAAGGTGAAGTGGAAAAATGGTTCACTGATTCTAGGTGATGCTTTTATACTATTTCTATAAAAAATGCTGCAAAATAGTTTAACATTAAATTCTACAATTTCAATCGTGAATTTTTATATGTTGTATGTAATTAGTTGAATTAGCAAACGTCGTTTTGCCAGACACTGCCATCTACCGGGCCCGTTTTTTCTTATTAGAAAAAAAAAACTAATTCTCTCTCAAACTGGAGCAAAAATATATAATTAAAAAAAATTAAAATCAGTTAAGCGATTTCGGAGATAAATGTGACACAGGATATATGTATTAAGATAATGATTGAAAATTATTTATAAATATTAAAACATTATTTTTATTTAAAAATATTTTAGTGGAGAAAAGAAGATGATATCGCTGCTTTCGTCTAATGGATACTTTGGATTTATACCTGGACTTTTCCCAAACACGCCTTTTCAGTTCACGTATTATACAAGGACGGTATGTGTATATTTTTTCATAGATTTTAATTTAGTTATTTAAAGTCAACTTCATTAGTGTTCCCTATAGCAAGCAAGCAACTCGACAATTTAATTGCATACGGGATGCTCAGAATTTGTCGTCCATCCATATTTCTTAGTGGAAATATTCAATTTCCTTTATATATTGAACCTTTAATAGCGCTCGGTTATATAAATTTAATAATAAAAAAAAATAGTCTATGTCTTTTTTCATCCCGCGTAATATATGCATATCAAATTTCATAGCGATTGATTCAGTCGTTAAGACGTTAAGAGGTACCAATAAGAAAAACTAACTTACTTTTACATTATATACACACAATATAGTGTTGTATTAGTAAGGATTATTTGTTTCATCATTGTCATCATCTCAGCCATTATCTGTCCATTGCTGAACATAGGTTTTCCCCATATACTACCATAAGGCATGGCCACTGATCTACTGACTTCCTGCAAAGCATTTGTTTTATCCATACAAGAAAATAAAAAAAAAAAACGATTTAAAAGTTTGAATAAGTATTACAAGTTGTGATTGCTAACCAGCGAAGCGATGATCAGCCACCGATATGGGCCGTCTATCTTGTAGTTTTAATGGAACGGGAACTATTTTTACATCGGACTAGTTCACAAGTTATATTTAATATATACACCCTTAAAAAACATTAAAACCTTCACGAAAATGACAACCGTTAATAAATACATCTGATTACTTATTAGAGATTATATTCGTTAGCAAAGCTTTTTTCTTGTTTATTAATATATAAAATAAATCGCTAATAATTGTAATCTAAGTATTTCCTATTAAAACCTTACTGTTCACTGGTCAATCTACGCTGTCTACATAGGATTGCAATGCGTATATGACTAATTTTTTTTAATTGATAATCAAATTGTCGTAATAGTAAACTCTTTCTAAATTATAAAAAGAACAAAAATGACAGACACAATATCAGTGTTTTGCTCTTTTTAGGGCAAAGCAAAAAGATGAGTTGTGGCCATTTTGTATTACGGTGGCACACGCATGAAGAAAAAAAATTATTAATTTTATGCATTCTGATTTTATTTTTGGTTTTTTTTTTAATCTTTTGTACATGTATCTTTTTTTATCTTTTTTCACTTTGCTTTTGTATCTTTTGCTGTTTGTGTGCTGTAAGTGATGCAAATAAATTATCTATCTATCTATCTATAGTTTATTTGTTACCGCTTGACGTCTTAACGGTTATAGTAATCGTCATATAATATGCTGAAAACCCAATATTTGAGACAGAAAAGAAAATAATATAGATACTGTTTTTGAAACCCGCCAATCAAAATATATCTGTCATGCAAATGAAGTCACGGATAAAAAAAGCAGGAAAACACACAAGAATTACGATTGAATTGAGCACCCCTCTCATTTTTAAATAGATCAAATCAATTTTGAGACCAATTGTATTTCAGGTTGTTGACTTGATTTATCTTAGACTATCTGATTGGCAAGATCTTCTAAACGCCTTTCCTGATGTCAAACAAACGTTGTATGCTGGAGCTAGAGAACTGAAAAAAGATTTGCTAAAAATATAATGAATGATTGAATAGTTCATCCTGTCGTTATATTAGAATTCATTAATTATTGTTTAAAATATTTTCAAATATATTAATGATTGCATTATAGATATTTCTAAATATATTTTTTGGTTTTAATAAATACTATCTTTTGCCCACAACTTTGTACGAGTGAAATTTGGAACTATGATCTAATACAAAAGAAATTAATGAAAATAAACAAATGAATAAACGACTAAACCATTAGGCAGTCTGCTGATATCTAATAGTAATAAAAATAAAAAATGCATTAATTCATTTAATATTTTTATGAATTACTAATTTAAATTAGATAATATTTTTAAGATACGTTCAACAGAACTTGATTACGCTTTCATTTCAGATTCTTGTGATTTTTATTTGTTAAGATAATGTTTTGATGAATAGAAAGCAACGTGATTACTATGCCAGTTACGTGAAGGAATTATAATCGATTTTATAACAAATTTTATCAAATAATTTTAAATTGCAATAATATTACCAAAGCCCTATTTATTTACATTAGGTATTAGCAGTTTCGGGAAATTTTACCCTCGTGAATCGGGGTATATAAAAAGATCTTATGTGATAAGTTAGGATTAAATCTACCAGTGTACCACATTTCATTCAAATCCATTCAACGTTCGTGTACAAACGTACATACATCTAATTATCCAAATAATTTTACAAACTTTTACATTTTTAATAGAATATTAAAAGCAAAATTCAAGGTGTAATGTATCTATCGTAGAGTCGTTGACACTAAATTTGCAAATGGTTTTACGTCTTAGGAATACAATAACATAAAATGAATGGAAGTTAGAACGAGGCTTAAAGTTATGTTTTGATTAAAACATAATGGTTTGGAAAACCTAGCGCTTTGCGACTTAAAAGGTCAATATCTTCTAAGAATGGTTACATCTGCGTTTATTTGAAAAATGAATTAAAACTATTACAATATGTACGGATTTTATCCGTAAATAATTAAATGTAGTCTAAGTACATTATTTTTGTTTTTATTTACATAATATAATTATTTTATACATTCGAATTATTTTAAATAATTTATCGAATCTACTAAGTCTAGAAAGCTGAAATTTGGAATATAGGTTTTTATAACGTAAATTTTAACTTAAAGAAGAAACATGACACCACGTGTGCAAAGCAGCGGGAACTGTTAGTTGAACTGTTAGATTGATCCCATAGAAATTTGATTAAAGTCGTTTCAGTTTTTAATTAAAAGTAACTGGTTTTGTTACATTTAAAGTCGGTTTTTATGGGGCACAATCTTTAATTATACAAACAGTTATTATATTACAATTTGAATTTCTTGCTGAATTGCTCTGCCTTCAAGAATATTATAACAAATGTACCTAGTTATATAAAGACGTTCCTTTTAGAAGTCGCAACGCAGACAGTCAAATAGATTCACCTGTTCAACTTACTAACATTCACAATAAGGCATTGTCACAGTTTTGAAGTTATAAATAATATCTTTGTTAGAGTGCAGTCACATAAATTTGTCGGCAAAGACAGGGGTCTTTGTTTTTAGCGGTTAATCCATCTATCTCTCTTGTAAAATCTCCCCAAGGGTATATTTTACCCTTTGTGTATCCATTTATCCTCCTAAAAATAACTAACATCCTTAAATCTCTCAGGTAATGTCAGAGAGAAAAGTTTTACAATTTCTAGTTCTATTACTCTACATGAGTTTGAACGATTTCAAGTTCTTATGCCATTATTCGTATGGGTGCATACGAATAATTTATGTATATGTATTTGTTACTCAAAGGCTTTTAAGATTATTAATAAAAATAAAGCGAATATGTAATACTACATAATACAATACATTAAATATTTACATGTTTAAATCTCTCTAGACTAAACAATTTTTTTTTTCAACTAAGGATTTAAAATACATGAAAAATTCAAATTTAATAAAAAAATATACAATTTTTATTTCAACAGAGTTCGTAATATATATCCATACATTTTTATTTGCGTATAAAAATATTTCAGTATCATACGACATGGACAACGAGATTGATTCTTAACCAAAGCTGAGACTCGGAGACTATAAATTTTATATAAAATTTTCAAAGTATATCATCTCTATAAATTACATAATATATTTATGTAGTGTATATACTCTGTGTACTCTATATAATGAGAGAGACCTTTACCAATACTTTTCATCTCATCGTCAGCCGTCATAAGAAGTAACAAAAAAAACAAAGTATAATACACAAGCGCAAGAGAAGGAAAACTCGAAATAAAACCCTATACTAAGCCGCCCGCCTAGTGAGGTAATAGTAGGCTCATATCTTCCTCTTATGTGGAGAAATCCGTGCATGGCATTAAGACGCTAATGAGTTGTTATGATATGGCACGGTATTACAGTCTTTTTCGTATTTTGACGCATTTATTTGGAACCGAATCGTTATACCATCAAATAGGTGACAAATGGACTTTACTAAAATTATTATGTCTGTTGATCATATTAAACGTAATGTTCTTTCGATGTCAACTCGAGTTAATTACAATTTCATTGCGTTATAACTTAGTCTATTGGTTACAATTGATTAATTATTGTTTTCGCTATTATTTTATTAACCTTTCTGGACACTTTCTACACACTATACTAAGGAAATTATTTTTAATTAATCAACCACATTACAAAGTATCGAAAAGAAGTCGGGTTTTCGGTAACTTTATGAAATTACATTCACTGGAAGCCTGCCTCCTCGTGGAAAGCTAAAACAATTTAGGATAATTTGCCTTTGAATATCTTATCCAAATAATATTGCGCTATTATCGCCTTTTTATTAACGCTCTAAAGATGAGAAAGCTTTTTATAGCTGCGTTTACACCGGCAATTTGGGTGGAAATAATATTTTTTGCTTAGAAAATTATGCACGGGGTTTCAGATAAATATTTTGTTATCAATTTCGTAAATTTTCCGTTGTGAAACGGCCAATGTTTTAATAAATTTCTAAAGTTGTTAACTCTCAACCCTGTATCGTTTCCAAGAACTGAAAAAAAATTGCCTATATTTATAAAAAAGGTTCAAAAATTAATAAGTACACGTCCGCTTTAATGTTTACTTTAATTTTGAGTTTGTAGTTTCTTATAGTTGTATAAATAGTTATCGGCAAGTATAGTTATTTTTATCCGACTATACAAAAAACAAAGAGGTTCGCAGTTTGATTGTCTTTTGTGAAACTAAATGGTTCCCTGTCATGTTGATTGTATATAATGTTATTTAATTAGAATCAATTGATATTTTTAAAATAGAGTGAAAGTGGTGAAATCACTAATGATTTTTTATAGAGTTTCTACATTATTCTTGATGGAACTTTAGAGAATAACGCGCTACGTTTACATTACAGAAGTAGTGTAAGTTATAGTTTCTTATTACGTTACCTTAGTACTGAGATTATATAATGCCCACCAAATGGCTATCAATTTATTATATATTATGCTATATATAAAAGTCACAAGATTCGAAGATGTTGATATAGAGAAATATAAGATGTATAATCAAATATTTAAAAAATGCCACTGAAGTGTAAGTATACGACATTTAGAGTATACGAGTATTCAACCAAATTTGCACTTATTTCTATCTAGTGGTCTTTGTAGTTAAATGTGTAGAAATATCCTTACGTACTTTGTAAAAATATAATATTTAATTCCACTCATGCTTCGTCTTGCAATTTCACCAGGACAGGTTTTATGTAGGTATATGAATCTTTTATATGAATGTGGATCTCGGTTTTTTGTGCAACAATGTACAAACACAGTAAATATTTACAAAATATAAAACAAATATAACAAAGCTTTTCGAAAACGAAAACAAATTACGTTAAATTTAAAATAGAGAATCTCCGTTTCGACGAACTAATCAAGTAGTTAATCTGGCGTTCTGAAATATGAAGTTGAAACAAAGTGCGGGTTGCTGCAATATTCTTGTTATTAATTCCTGGCTATGAAGTACAAATTAAGCTCAATGGCGAATCTGACGACGTACAGTTTTTCATTTGGTCTTTGTTATAAGAATTAGCGATTTTAATACTCCCTTGTTTTCTATACTTAGTCACTTCCTTGTTTCTTTTTATGGGATAAAATGGAATGGTAACAGCGTTTGTACTAGCGATATACGCTGGGTATATACAATTACAGGATGATTGGTGAAAAAGAAGTTAGCTTAGTTGGCCCATCTTGGCAAAATTATTAGGAATTATTCACAATGATTCCCAAGCGGAGCTGCGTGGAAGTCGAATTTATAAGATGACTGATTTGTCTAAGAATATTTAAAATTGTCAATGTATTATTATTTACTATGTAACTTAGAATGCCAAAACAAATTCATGGCCCACTTGATGGAAAGTGGTCACCATCGTCTATACACATGAACAGTAGTATCATGGACATAACAGAATATAGTGTGTGTGCCCATGATACATTTCATGCGTTACCATTCTTTAAGATTAAGGTGTTATGCCTCTGTATTCTGTAATTTTATTGCTATATCCCACCCTTTAAATTGAAATACTGCCATACAAACATAATTGCTTTATGGCAGAATAACAACTGGGACAGAAATACCCGAGTAGACGACTTTGTACAGAGACTCCGGTGTTTTGTTATTGGTGGATTTTGTAAAACATCTGACTATAACTTGTGCTCCTTCCGTTGTGTACTTTCTATTTAATTAAGCAGCAAGTTAATTTGGGTTTCAGAATATTTGGTTAGCTAATAGAATGGTTTGTAAAATGCCTAATTTTAAATAAAATTATCTCAAGTTATGAATAATTGGAACAATTTTGTAGGTAATCCTTGTAGATTACTTACAAAATTATTGCCTGTGCAAGAAGTTGGTAATTTAAATCCTACACAAAATTTTAGATTCTATTTTTGAAATTTTCTTACGGTTATTAAATACTGATATATATTAAATTTCATTGCAATATGAGTAAAACCAGCCTTACCATAAATAATTAAACAATTAATCATATACTAAATACCTGGAATTTCATTTATCTTCGTATCAAATGAATATATTCTTGTCACGTCAAAGTAAATTACAAGCATAGAAATAAGTAA